TCCACCCCCTGCCATGGGCAGGGACACCTTCCACTAGCCCAGGTTGCTCCAAGCCCTGTCCAACCTGGCCTGGGACACTTCCAGGGATGGGGCAGCCACAGCTTCTCTGGGCAACCTGTGCCAGGGCCTCTCCACCCTCCCCGGGAAGAATTTCTTCCACATATCACATCTAACCCTTCCCTCTGTTAGTTTGAAACCATTGCCCCTTGTCCTGTCACTGTCTGCCCATAGAAAATGTCCCTCTCCCTCCTTTTTCCAAGCCCCCTTCCATCCCACTTTGTTTGATCCTGTCTGGAGAGGTTCCCTCAAGCTCAGCTGTGTCACAGGCACCTGTGGTTGGGTTTGGCAGCTCATTGCTTTGGTAGGAAGCAGTTGGCTGTTGCTGAGTGGAAGTTACTGGGTGTCTGGGCATAAACTGTTCCTAGTTACACTGCTGACCCTTCAGAGGTCCTTGGGAATACGCAGGAAAGTTGGATACAATCTCTGAGGCTCTTTATCCTTTTGTGCTTTGGTAGCTCACTCGGCAGCAGTGACATGTGTGGCTTCCTGTCCTGGTAAGGACACTGTGTTCCTGTCCTGTGCTGAGGTAAAGCTCACTCTGTTGTCTAAATCTGCCTGATAAAAATGAGATTTAATTTTAGTTATTTACAGTTTAATGCACTTAGAAACCACCTCTTGTGTTACAAGCTGCATACCTGAGTTAGTAGAGTATTCCAGTTTGATAAGTTGATAATCAGCTTACCAGTCTGATTCCTAGAGGCCTGTATTGAATTTTGGGAGCTCCTAGTTCTGTCCTGGGTGTGATTGAAGGCTGCAGTTAAGGGCAGCATCATTTTAACCCAAAGGAAGAGGAGGGGGTGGTTTTGACTGGAGATCTGCAGCAGTTCTGTAGTGAATGTGAGTTTATGCCACAAAGACATTGTAAAACCCTTTTTATTCCCTTTGGATTTATAGGACAACAGAACTTTACTCTGGGACACCAGATGCCCTAAACCAGCTACCCGAATTGGTATGTCTCTGTACACAGCCACTGCTTGTGAATGAGTTTGGGTTGGAAGAAATAAATTATTTTATGCCTGACTTCTGTGTCTTAACTGCCAGTCTAGTGATGTGATCCTAGAAAAGCCTGTTAAAACCTAAAGAGGTTAAAACAGAAGTATGATAAGCTTAAAATACTTGCCTTAGTGCTGTAGCAGTGCTAAATGAGATAGGACAAAGATATTCTTGCTCTGACTCTTTCCACACTCATCCCAATTTCTTCCCTTGCAGTTTGCAGTGCCTGTAATTACCTCCCTACCTCAATCATGTGGCATCCACAGAAAAGTGACATCTTTGTTTTGGGTAAGAACCTTCGCTTTCACCAGGCAGGTCAAGCTCTTTTGTTTTCACAGTGACCATTTTGCTCCTAACTTCCTTCTCCCTCTGCTCCAGGTGATGAAAGTGGAACAGTTGCACTAGTAGACACAAAGAATCCTGACTCTGCCCTCAGTGCCACCGTGCACGCCCGGAGCATCACGGGCTTTGCATTCTCTGCACACAGGTACAGTCTGATACACTGCTGTGGAACATGGGACTGCATCCCCTTGAAAACCTTATTATTTTAAAAAACAAAGTACTAGTTGTCTTCTTATCAAGAAGATTGTAGCAAAGAGTAGAGTAAACCAAACAACATCTCACTTTTGACATGTGTGATTACCTGTGAGAACAATTCTGCAGTTTCAGAATTACTGACCCACTTGCTGTGGGGATTTTTCTAATTAAAGCCACCTCTGATTGAAGAAGGATCACTTGTTTTCTGACTCCCATAAAATATTCTCAGTGCACTGACAACCTGCCAAACAACGGTGAAAACATTTTTGTAAGATTTTGTGCCTCTTAATTCACTGTACCTGGGTGAGGATCACTAGGAATCCTACTTTTCATAAGTTTATCCCTAACAATTCGTGTATTTGATTGTTCTGAGCATGGTTTCATCTCTGTCCTCCAGTTCACCCTTACTGGCTTCCATCAGTGAAGACTGTTCAGTTGCTGTTCTTGACTCAGACCTCTCAGAGGTGTAAGTACAGGCAGAACACGTTCACTCTTGTGGCTGTCTTACTGTCTTCTCAAGTTAATTATTTATCTGTAGAATCCCAGAGTGATTTGGGTTGGAAGGGACCTTAAAAATGTCTTCATTCAACCCCTGCCATGGGCAGGGACACCTTCCACTAGCCCAGGTTGCTCCAAGCCCTGTCCAACCTGGCCTTGAACACTTCCAGGAGTGGGGAGTCCACAACTTCTCTGGGCAACCTGGAGGTGAAGATATTCCTAAATGGGGGAGCATCATCCATAAAAAACCTAGCAGTTAGGAATTGCAGAAGCCCATAAGCTCTCAGTGTTTCCTGGCTAATGGAATGTTGGTGTTTTCCAGGTTCAGAAACCGTTCTCACCGAGACTTTGTTAAAGGCTTATCCTGGTCTCCTTCAGACGATGCCTTGCTCACTACAGTTGGATGGGATCATCAGGTTTTACATCACACTGTCCCTGTACCAACTGGTGAAGCTTCTGGAGTCAACTGTGTAAAAGAATAGTTTTATAAACTCATGGTCCAAGTTCCTTCCTGGCATCACTTTGATTCTGCTGAAGTCAAAGGTGTGTGTGAACTGGAGCGGGGATGGTCTGTTGTCTGCCTTGAGGCTCGTGGCTCAGAAGGTTCCTGTAGTAATTTTGAATTAGGCCTGAGTTAGTTACAAACCAAGCTTTGCCCTCTCCTCGGGAGTGCTTCTGTAATATGACTTCAGTTTTACCCAGAGGAAAAAAAAAAATTTGCTTCAGGTACAGAGGAGACTTGGAGAGATGGGGAATTAGGTGTAATGAAAAATAAACTTAGTCAAAAAGATTGGATTCCTCCCTCAGTTCTCCAAACCACCCATGGTATTAATAGAAACATTTTCTGAGGGGGTTTAACAACACACCTCCTCTCAGGTGGGTGTGAGAGCCTTGCCCTTGAGCAAAGTTCTTTGCTCTGAAATGTAATTCTTCCAGTGGAATGGGAAGACATGTTCTAATTCAAAGACTAGAAGGGTTCCAGTGTTGTCCTTAATGCAGCACTTGGTTTAGAGCACTGGGCTTCAGTGCCAGTGTGGATCCTGTGCTGAGCACTGCTTGTGCACTGCTATCAACACCTGTGCTTGGTGAGAGGAGTCCTGTACACTGTATAATGAGGCTCCCAGCTGTAGCCCTGTAATTAAACACCTTTGGGATGGTGCTGAAATCCTGGGACCTGTGATGCTCAGCCCCAGGGCCAGTTAAAGGGACTGAAAGCCAGAAGTGAGCAGTTGCTGTGCTGTTTGACACCATATTTCATCTCCTCTGGGCTGAAGGCGATTTACTCAAAGATAAGACCTGTGAACAAAAGGTTTCTGTAAGGGAAAAACTGGACTAAGGACTTCAGTTGTCATTTGCTTGCTCCTGTAACAGGCTCTGCTTAGTGATAAACCAGACTCCTCGTGCACTTGTGATGAGTGACTCTTGTGCCAGCGACTGAGGGGACAGAACACTCCCATAATCCCCAAAACAGACTCCACATAATCCCTAAGAGGTGTTTTTTTGTCATATATCACATCCATTTCTAACTAAACTGTTTCCCTGGAATATATTTAACTGAAAAAAAAAAAGTCATTGCTCTGCATGAATTGCTGCTGCTCTAGATATGGCTTGGTCTGGCCTAGTATCTCCTAGACAGAATTAAGCAAGTCTTGGCTAATGAAACAAAAATACTGTTGAAATGAATGTTACCACTGGTTCTTTAGCATGATAGCAACACTTAAATGTACACTGCTTCCAGTGTTTATCCCTGCATACACATAGGTTTAGTTGTGCAAAGCCCACACTTAATTTTTAGGCAGACTAAGCTTTCCCAGGCTCTGGACTTTTCTCATAGTCTTTGTAAACCTCACCTGCTGCTTCTTTAACTCCCCTGTCATACAGGTGTTCACAGAGCAAACCTCCTGTTCTAGAGCAGTGTATGACAAGGAGAAGGTAAATGACGATAAAAACTGACACGTTTCCTCAAAAAATCCCCTTTGAACCACAAAGTCCCCTCTTGGGGACCTCTGATGCTGTACTGAAACAGGTCTTGTGCTGGTTCTGAAGAAGTTGTCTTGGCAGATGGTTTTTAAATAAATCATAGTTTTCATTTGTAACTGGGTTTAAAGTTTCACTGGGCCAGTTCTGTAGCACTGAAGAGCCAGCTGAGATCATTCACACTGTTGAAGTTGTGGTTTCAGTCCCTGATATTAAAACTGTTCTTAAATAAATGACCACTGTATTCCTGTTTAATGCCAGGGTACTACAATTCTTCAGCACTAGGTCAAGGCAGGCTCTGTGTCCTGCCTGTTTTCAGGAAGCTTTTCTTCCCAAAACTCTACCTTGGGTTACCACTGTGCATAGCTAAAAAGAAAAGTTTTGATGTCAAACATCCAGTTCCTCCTATTGCCACACATAAGCAAAACACAACAAAAAAGAGCCATGGTGGATGGTGAAATCTATATGGACAGCAGGTCATTACTGATATATTAATTCTGGATTTAGAATTAAAGACCAAAAGAAAGTAAGTGCTTTTAGCAGCTGGCAGATGTTTGTTGTGCCACAGGATGGCAGCAGCTGCCCTTGACAAGGGGCAAGGCAGCACCTCCCTAACTCTGCACGTTAAATTAAAGAGTATCTCCTTTCAGTTTTTTTACCATTTATATTTGGGTTTTTTCACTATCATAAGAAAAACACAGAAGAGCAACAGTTTAAGAGTCACTCATGTTATGCAGCTTGGCTTGCAGTTGATTGTACTGCTGCAAGCAAGGCTGGAGTAAACAGTCACATAGACACATAGGCAGCAGGGCACAAACACCAGCAATCCCACATCAATCCCTGCAGACTTTGCAGCTTTCTGCAAAGGAATTAGAGGGAATTCTCTGGGGTTTGTGGTTTGCTCAGCTGTCCCCACACTCCCCACCCATCAGGTTTGGGGATGCTCGTCTAAAGAGGTTGTGGCTCAAGTAAAGGCTTCAGTGTACACATGGCACACTTCATGGGGAGCCTGGCTCTGCAGCCAGGGCTGGATGAAAGAGAGGAGCATGCAAATAAATTTAATTTTGAGGAGTGGAGAGAACAAGCCACACTCTGAAGACGAGCCTTTATGTTGCTGCTTGCGTTGCTCACCATGCTTTCAATTTGAAGCACAACATTCCAGTTGGGACTTGTTACAAGTATGTGAGTTTCGTTCCTAATGAAAAGCTCAAACCCAAGAACTATTTATAGAAGCTGCACAAACTCCTCTCTCTGCCAGCCTGCCCAGCCAGCTGGATGTGAGTGACAGGGCTCTTGGGGCTTAGCTGCCCATTCATGCCTTGGCTGGGCTTCTAAAAACACCAAAATGGCCACAGGGTTTATATCAGCTGCTCAGGAGAAATTGGACCGAGCCCTGGCTAAGCTGGAATTCAAATTGTTGCTGAGCTACGTTTTCCTGTCCTTTTAATCTGACGTGCAAAGATCTCAATCTCACAGCACACACCCCACTTAAACAACGCTGGAAAAAAGTCAGACCACACGTGTGATAAAACAACACGTCCAGAAACATTTAATGCAAGAAGGTTGGTGTTCAATGGCACTCATAAATAAGAGACTTTGTTCAACACTTTACAGCTAAAGCTCTGTTATACTCCATTAGCTGGTGCTTTTGGGGAAGAGGCAGCTGCAGGGGATAATTTCAGTTGTATCATGACTCGAATGACCAAACTGCATCAGAGAGGGTTGAAGTGAGAGTAATTCCACTGCCAGGCTTCAGGGTTGCTCTCAGCACTGCCTGGGCTGTGAGGCAGCTTTGCTCCATTACTACCCCTTAGGTTTTTTTTGCTTCTTTATCTCCTGTTGCTGAATTTACACAGGGAACCAGCTGGGGAGGAGCAGGGACAGGAATCCAAGTACCATTTTTTATCCACGTACCTGACAGAGTCACCTGCCCCAGGAGGGGGGAGCTCTTCCCCGTCCCTGCTGCTCCTGCTCTTCATCAGAGACCTCCCTTTGTCCCCAAGTGCTGTGGCTGCCAACAGCTCTGACAGTGGCTCCTTTGTCACACAGTTCCCAGCGCCCCGACAGAAATGTCTTGGTTGTTACTGAAACACTAGAATGCTGCATGCATTGAAAATGCATTCAAAAGAAACAGAGATAGCCCAAAGTGTCTGAAGAATAGGAGAGTTCCACTGCTTAAAACGTGTGCTAACCAGTTTTACAACTGGGAGCAGAGTCCAGCCTGAGTTAGTGACAGCTCAGTCCACTGTGCATTCCCAGAATGGGTGTTCTGTGAATAATGGCTGTTCTATAAGGCTTCTAATAGTTAATTTATATGAATATGTCTGCTAGAAATGAGACACTCCATGCTCTGTGACATCATCTAACAACTCCATCTGAATTGTGTGTCTGGGTTGAAATAGTAAATGTGACATTGGAGTGTCACGTTTTGCTCTAAAAACTTGAGGATATGCTCAAGTTTAGAATTTGTGAGGTGGAAAAGTGCACACACCCCACACTTCTCCAGACCTGCAGTGGGCAAAAATCAATCTTGGAGGGCCAAAGTCTCCCAAAGAACATTTAAATTTAAAACTGCTTTTGAGAACTAACTTTGCAGTTATACGTTTTTCAAAACAATAAATTATCAGGAAGGAAAAAATTAAGTTGCAATATTATCAGAGAAGCTTCTTTGTTTTCTTTCAAGTTTTAACTGGTGAAGCTTCATCCAACACTAAAACATGACCCTGAAGCCACTCAAGCAGGACCACAGCTTTACCTCCACAGATCAGTAAGAATCCTCAAGATGCTCCTTGCATGGAGAAACTTTTATGTTTTGAGGTGGGGGTTATTCCACATGACACCTGGCACACTTCAACATCACAGAGTTACTCCATAATCACTTTTCTCCATAAACATTTTTTTTTAAACCAACACCCAGATATTTAAAGCCAATTATTTCAATATTGGCTGTGGTGAGCATTGGAAATCTTCCAAGTCACTGCGACTTACTGGCATAAAAATGCCCTTTAAATTAGCTATTAGACTGATTATGGTATTTGCATTTTCATTTTATTCACAGCAAAGTAAAGTTCAGAATACTTTGAAGCTGCTGCAGTATCTGAAAGGGCTGTTAAATTACTGGGTAAAACTGGAAATAACATAGAATGCCAATGACATGACATGAATATCAAGATAACTTTTTGAGAATTCCACCATGAAGGAATATTTATCACTGAATTCCAGTTGAATTGTAGAGCAAAATCTGCTTACAGGCACATGTAGAGGTGTGTGCCAGGCAGGATAAGCTGGAGTGGAACTAATTTATAGCATTGAAAATAGAAAGTGCTTTCCATAAAAATAGACTAATGTCTCAAAGTGCTTTTAGTTTGTCAGTGATTAGACAACATTCTCTACAAGTTTTTACAGTTATCTTACAGAGATTTTCAGCAAGTTTACCTATGAGGAAGAGCTTTTATTTCTAGTTTCAGGAAGCTGGTTATTCAAAGCTTTGGTCAGCTATTGTGAGACCGCACTGCTCACTCTGGAGTATAAAATACCTTTTATCTTTAAGGCTTCTTGTATCTCCCCCCCACTGCACAGCCACAACCAGCTCCTTCAGAGGCAGCAGCAGGAAGCAGGCACAGGCACATCCAGCACCTATGGAAGCAGCGGGAGCCAGCTCCCTCAGGGATGTCACTGCAGCCACCCCACACCAGGACTGTAGCTGCCTACAGTCACACTGAAATTTGGCTGCTTAGTCCCCAAATCAAGCAAACTAAAGCCAAGTCTCAGCAGAGCAGTTTATAAGGATCCTGTGGCTGAACTATCAGGGGTGGGGGGTTACATGGGTACGAAGTGGCAAGAGACCCCTCAGGGGAAGCACCACCAGCACAGCACCTTGGCAAGTCACTGGCACCCACCAGCTGAAAAGAAAAGAAGGATTGCTCCACGTCCTAAGTCTCCAAAGGGCTTCAGAGCCGTCCATCCAGGCCTCACAGCCTCCTTCCACGAGGAATAATTACCAACAGAGACATTTCCAGTGACCAAAAGGCACAGCAAAGCAAGGCCCCTGCTCCCAAAGCTGCTCCCTGGAAGAGGAGGACAGGCCCTGACAGCCAGGAGCTGTTTTAAGGCATCAGCATAATTGATTTGCTCCAGGCTGTTGAAGGAGGTGGGGATGGAAGAGGTCAGGATCTGGACATCCTAAACTCTCTTTCTATCCCATTGGCCTCACACTCTTATTTTAATCCCCCTACCCTGAGCTATACACTGGCTTGCTTCCATAATGCACATCTCCCAGTTGGTTTCTCCCTACTCCCAAGCACGTTGGAGTTAAACCAACTCAAAAAAAACCAATCTCAAACCAACTTTTCCAGTGGTGATGCTCTTCAAAGAGAACTAAGGACACTCTTTGGCTTTCTTAAGATGACCTATCAGGCTGCAATTCTGAAAATAATCCAAGGGGAAAATGGGGAAAAAGGCAAGCCACGTTTGCTCAGGTAACAAGGCAGTGGCCTGTCTGCAGTAACTTACTCTCCATGACAGTCTTTTGAGACCAAAGTCCGAGTCCCAGGGTCATCCCCCACCTTCTCCAGCAGTAGTTTCAAGCAGCACGTTTGCTGGCTGGGTTGGGGCCGTCCCTGGGGCCCATGGAGAAGGAAAGGACCATGCCAGGCACCTTCTCCTCCCTTCCCAGCCGGGTGCAGGTGGCAGAGCAGCCCTGGGGACGAGCCTACCGGTGGCTGCTCTGGTAGGCGTAGGAGATGGGCTGGCGTGTCCCGGGCCTGACCGTGAAGGTGTTGGTGGGTCCGCCGTACTGGGGGCTGCCGTGGGCAGGTCTGCAGGGAAAACAGAGGGAAAGTCACTGAAAGCCAAGGAAACCCTTCGGTTTTAGTCAGGATTGCGATTATGTACTTTATTCTTGTCCTAGGGGAGCAGGGTGATTTTTGTGGCTTCGTGTCTCCAGCCAGTGATGTGGGGAGGAGGGGGAGATGGGCACCCACTGGGACCATCTGGGAGCAAGGTCACAGCTGGGACTAGAGAGGAGCCATGGACGGTCGTGAGGTGGCGGGAGGAGATCCCAGCTGGCAGCGAGCGCATGAGCCAAGGGGCAACGACATCTCTGGAGCCAAATCCAAGGGACAGCGAGGACAGGGAAGGGTCAGCTGAGGGGGACACACGTACCTGCTGGCTGCCAGCACGCCGGTGGGCGAGAAATCCCCGTTCTGCCCCTTGTACTTGGCGT